CCTTTGATCAATTTAATGCATCTTTGCATTAATTTCTTTAAAATAAATAAATAAATAAAATAAACCTTACTGGCTAAATCTTACTGACCCAAACTTTTGAACAGTTGTGTATGTTAAATATATGAGGTTTTATACTGTAATAGAAATTCAGTAGATTGCTAATACTTATTTATAATGATTGCTAATTGAGAGAAAACCTTTAATTAAAATAATTATTACTTCCAATATAATATTGAAAATGATACAATTTTTGCACTCTAAGCAGTACATTTTTTGACATTCAATCAGCATCTAGCAAGAATAAGTTTTGAGTAAACACAGTAGTTTTTTATTTTATTCAAACTGTTTCAGTTAAAAGGGTTAAAGTGCAAAAAAAGTTAAAATTATCATATCAGCCACAAGAAACTTATAATCAGTTATCCGTCTTAAAATTCCATCCACCTTTCAATGTGGAAGTAAGCAACTTTCTTTGAATGTGGGAGATTTTGATTTATTAGCCACTATATGTAAATAAGCAGAGGAATAACAAAGTGCTGTAAACCGTAAAACTATTTGTGCTACAAACCATGTGTTTATAATTACAAAAATACATTAAAATAATATAAGAACTACTAGTTTGCAATATCAAGCAGAATAACAAGTTGTTTTGTACATCTAAAAATAACTGGAAATGGATGATACCGAAAACCTTGCACATTCAAATTACAAATGGCCGCATCAACTCTTATAATTAAAAATAAAGTGCATCTTAAAGGTGCAATAGGTGATTGTCTTCAGAAACATTTTTTTGTTAGCTCCAGTCCTCGCGGCACCATTCTCTGCATATTTTGCATGTCTCGCTTAGTTAACACACCTGATTCAGATAACCAGCTCGTTAGAAGTGAGCTATGTGGCATGAACTGTGTTCTGATCGATATGATCCCTACACAGTGTTTATTGCTCCCTACTCCCTGAGCAGGGGAAATCCGTTGAAGCTTACTTCACTTCGGAACATTCATTCACGGATTTGCGCTGCGCAGCGTCTTCACACACAGACGAAACTTACTAGAGAAGTGTGACATAATATACCTCTGTAAATAAATACTATTTAATTTATAGTATAAAAGAGGACTGGAATTGGGAACCGCTGATGTAGCCTATTGTAGTAATGTTGTCTCTGGTATTCTGGTCTGTGAGCGTATATGCGTTCAGGGGGCGTGGCTTTGGACGGCAATTGCAGGGAGGGTGGGACGTTCGCTTTCAGTGCTATCAGGCTAAAGTTAGCATTTTCCAAGATCTCCTACTGCACCTTTAATATATATTTGTGTATATAGGTGTGTGCTTCTTATTGCTGTCACTCTACTTCTAGTCTTTCGTGGCTCATTTTCTTCTTGACTTTCACTTTCTAAAGTCTTTGAAAAAAGCATGCATTCTGAAAAGGGAAGAACAACCTTGATTGCTGAACTGAGAGAGTATCTATAGTCATAGACCACTTCTCATGAGGGAACGAGAGAGAGAAAGAAAGAGAAAGAGAAAGAGAGGAAGGCTCAACTCTAGAGCACTACAAGGACCTAATTGTCGTCAGTGGTGACTTTGACCAAGATCAAATCTCATGCCAGTAGAACACAGGCCTAGATTTAGACTGCTTCATTTCACCAGGGTCTCTCACTGTATGAGCAAAAATCCCACAGACATCTTCACCTGACTGCATGACTGAGACAGATATAAACAGTTGAATTTTCCCATTGTAATGAAAAGTCATTAATTTACAGTGTTTTAATAAATTAGTGGAAAAACTAACATTATAGCTAAAACATCACTTAGTTATTTGCTCAAACATAAGGTTAGGGTTTTGAACAAACCCCAAACCCTAAGTATTAGAGATGCACAACGCATCTGCACTACATTGGTCATTGATGTATTCTGCCAATTTTTCAATTTATTGTATCAGCAGATATTACATATTTAACGGTTTTCTTCCTATTTTAGGATTAAGATCGTCATCTATCACCAACAATAATGGACATCTATAGACTACAGCAACGATTGAACCCTTTAAGACAGATCCCAAACCAATCATTTAAGGGCATTGGTTACAACTCTCTGAGCTCTATTCTCTAACAAAGGACTACTAAGTTTTTCAATTACTGTCTAACCATCATCCCAGATGCTGTTAAGGTTTGGGTTCAGTAAGATTTGTTTTTTGACAGAAATTAATACTTTTATGTAGCAAAGATGCATTAAATTGACAATGAAGACATTTATAATCTTACCAAAGATGTATAATTCAAATAAGTGCTGTTTGTTTGAACTTTCTATTTACCAAAAAAAATTCATATAAATATTAAGCAGCACAGCTGTTTTCAACGTTGATAAGAATAATAAGAAATGTCTCTTAGGAACCAAATCATCATATTAGAATGATTTCTGATAGATCATGTGACACTGAAGACTGGAGTAATGACTACTGAAAATTTAGCTTTGCTATCACAGAAATAATTACATTTTATAATATATTAAAACATATATAAAATTTAAATTGAAATATTTCAGAATATTACTGTTTTTTTGTATTTTGATCAAAATAGATGCTTTCATGAACATTAAAGTGTAAATGTATGCAATTGGGTAGAAAAAAAGGCCATGAGACTCTAATTCTACATCAAGTGCACTATTTGGGGCCGGGCCGTATGCTAGAGCACTGCAGCAAGATACAAAAACCAGACGCTAAGTGGAATTAGGCAAACTAAGCAAGAAACCTCCCAAATTTCAGCATACGATCACACTACATATTGCAATTCAAAAACCTCTTGCTGCCAAAGGATTCAGACAGTTTCTCAGGGGATGTTCTGTTGTCTGGGTTTCTTGCAAGTTTCCTGTTCCTGTAGACCAATATTCCATCTGTTCTCCACAGTCATGTGATTCATAAAAGAACATGCTCGTGCTCACAAAGCCAAACACTCGTCTATTTATCTTTTGCATGGGCTCTGTAGAATTTCTAAGCACTTCCTTTAGGAAAACTATATGTCAAAATGTGGTGTAAGGCTTATTGTGTTTGAGGATAGTAAGGACAGTAAGATTGATTTGTGTATCATCAGCTTAACTATTAAAGTTAAGACCATGAAGCTGAATGATCTGAACATTAGAATGATCTGAACATTAGAAACAGAAGTGGACCAAGAACAGATCCTTGAGGTACACCATGGGAAACAGTGACAGAGCGAGATTAATGCTAATGAACTGTTGCCTGTCCGAGAGATATGAAGTTAGCCACTGAAAGGCAGTGCCAGTGATAGATAAGATAGGAGTACTGAATGCATTGGTTTTCATCCCGTCTCTGTACATATTCCAAGATGGAAAGAATTGTCCAGTCTCTTTCTTCCACCCTCGGCGTTCCCATTCTGGGAAAAGCTTTGCATAAACCTCACTTGCCTTTGAAGTGAAGCAGACGCTGGCAGCAGGCTGACAGGACACCTGACCATCAGGTCTGACTGGGTCCATATGGCTACATCTACTTTCTGTATGTCAAAAAACAGCACATTTCTGCAGTCAAATAGGCAGGCAAAACATGACTCTTTGCTGCTTTGCTTGAGATTGAGAGGCTGAGAATCCTCTGGGCAGCCAAAGACCTTGAGGCTTCCAGCTTGCTGATTAATTTGTGACAGGAAGTCTCTGTCTCTAAGTGCCTTGTGTGCAATGCTTTTAATTTATATGTTAATCTGAATTCAGCGCATAGCAGGCATTTCCAGCGTGGCTTCGTTCCAAAGTCTATCCATTCCGTTACAGAAACAATTTAGAAACATGTTTGGGAATGCAAAGCCTTTGGGTTTTTTTTGGGGACAGGTGATTTATTTTGCTGAAAATATCTCTTTCTGTACCTCATCCCTAAAAGATGAAGGGGGAAAAAAACAAACAAAGCAGATTTTTCTATAGCATTGCTAAATTAAAGGATGAAAAGTTGTAGTACACATCCTGAATTGGGTATAGCAGATTTCACAGCAAAAAACAAAATAAAATAAAATGCATCACAGACATATCTGTTGAGCGCGTGAACCCAATGGCCAATCAGAGGTGTTTACCCCCTTATTTACACTGCACGCGTCTGCGGCGCGTTACGACTCCGACGCGGCCACCGGAGCTGATCGTGGCCACTCTATTCAATGCTTGTGTTTACACCAGCTGCGCAAAGGCACGTTTACTGGCCTATTTATGATGAACGCCACGTCAAAGCCGCACAGTAAATACAAAATAAAAGTCAACAAATCCTGTCAGTTTCAAAATAAACACCCTGTGCAGACTCCCAATCGCATTTCACATCACTATATCCTTGCCAGGAGGCCAGAAATGTTATGTGAAACAGAATTAAACTGGACAAAACATACACATTTAGCCAACTTAGCCATGTTAGAACACAAATAATCAAGACAAACAACGTCGGACAGGCAAATCACGTGGTCTTGCGAATCCTGTTGCTTCACTTCTGAAATGCTCCTGGTGTGAGATGAACAAAACCTCGTCTGGTACCGGAGCTACCGACTGGTACTGACATCGGTACTTTTGACAACACAAGTCAGGACAGTCTGGAAATATTAAAGTACTAAAGAAATGAAGTCATCTAATATTCAAACATCCCTCCACTGTCCATTGCTCTATAAATAATAAAAGAAAATAATGAATACATCCACAAGCAAGAATTTCAGGAGTTTTCACTTTGAAACAGATCACTAGACAAGCAAATTTGGGGTCTCTGCACTTATAATTAAAAGAAAATGTCACTCCTGCTAACATCAAAACCCAGTTGAACTTAACTGTGTGACTGCACTGGTTTAGGTGCGAAGATCCCCATTACTCATAATTTTTTTTTAAAAGAGTCTGAAACTGGTAATTAATTACTAAAGCATAAATATACAGAGAATCAATGACTGATCTGACACAGACATGAAACACTGTGACAGAGAAAATTCCTATAATAAAACTCAAACTGAAAAAAGAGGCATATCAAAGCCAGCAGAAGTTCTTACCTGTGACCAATTCTCTGACTTCCACATCAGAGGTCTTACGCAGCAGGCGGACCAGCGCAGGAATCCCACCACAGGTTTTCAGAGCGATTTTATTATCATCATTGGCTTTGCCGTAAACAAGGTTCCTCAGGGCACCACAGGCGCTCCTGTGTACTTCAGTCATTCTGTGATCCAACAGGTCCACCAACAACTGAATACCACCCTGCCTCCGTATCTGAGAGAAACAGAGAGATAGAGGGTGATGGGTGATGTGTATTTTCATATTTCAAGACTTAAAGTCTGGGTTCGGAACACGGGTAAAACAATAAAATCTACATAAAAGGCATCTAAAAAGTAGCAAAATGACCCGGTAAAAAGTTTTCAAGTCAGTTTTAATGTAACATGACAAGAACAATGTTCAAATAAATAAATGTATAACAAACAAACAAATAAATAAATAGTGAAGGAAAACTCATATAATAATGAAGAATATATATATATATATATATATAATTCAGACTCAGAATGCTTGGTGACTCCAGTGAGCTGAAAAGGGCTTTGAAAATTAATTCATATTCATATTTTGAACTTGAACTCCTGATTTGAATGCAACTTCAATCAATCTAATCAAGAATTATTGATCAGTAAGAACATGGTGGCCTTGGCTCAACTCATGGGAAGACATTCAAAATGTTGACCTTTCCTTTTCTGACATTCAGCAGTGCTGCCTCATATAAATGAAAAAAAAAAAGTCTGAATTCAGTATTAAGTCACACCAAAATAGCTTAGTGTCAGCCTATGAGATCATCTGGAGGATAAATGAACAAATAGGAGGTACTGAATCCATAACCGGTGTATTTGAAAAATCAATACTAAAGGGAGCCGGAAAATGAATCACTCTTCAGACAGACTGAGAGGTGTGAGTAAATCTCTATAAACAGAGCTTTGCTGTTCTACACTACAGTCAATTAAAGCCAGCCAAGTTCATTAGAGGTTCTGAGACCACACTACAAAAAGCCATGAAAGTTACTGAATGCTATGGAAAAACAACACAGATTGACATCAACTCACCCTCAGCCTTCTCATTTTGATATCCGGTGCCATTTTATAATCTTTTCAGGAATAGTTTCCTCACAAATGAACATGTTGCCGTTATTTTCCAATCTTCATGTCATTCTAAAACCGTATGACCTTTTATCATATGTGGCAGAATGTCTGAGCCACTGTTTTCCATCAGTTTTGTAATTGTTAACTAAAATTAAAACTATTAGAAAGCGTTTTTATTAACTAAAATAAGGCTGAAAATAAATACAAATTAAATAAATAATAGCTGAAAAGTAAAAGAAAATTAGAAATGTTAATGTTGTAAAAGCTAATTTTAAATATAAATTCATACTATAATACTATATAAAAAAACATGAAATTGGATGGTGATTTTTACTGCCAAGCTCCAAAAAGTAAAAAAAGCACTATAAAAGTAGCCCAAAATAACATCATACAGGGTTGGAATAACATGAGAGCGAATAAAGAATAAGACATTTTTATTTCATTGTCAATAAAAATCACAATATCTTCCTTGGTTATTATTTGGCGGCTTAGTTCATTGTAGTTTGAGCCCTTACAGACTAATACACAGAGCAAGCCAAAAACGTTTTGAACGAATTGACATAAAACCAGCAGGGCTAAGTTATTAAGAGAGAGTCACACCTGTGTCTATCTGCAGATTCATCAAGTGATTGCACTATGAATTTCCAATTTCCTGTCCCGCTGCCAACTGGCATACACAATACCCTGCTGCATTAGCTTAAGATGAGTGTAGGAGCAGCCCTGGCAGATGTGCTTCTGAATAGTACATCACTACAGATCAGCGCTCTGGCTTCACATCGCCACTCACTCCAATGGAGATTACAAACATGTTTCTTTGTGTGGCTTTGTCTGAAGGTGAGAAGTGATCTAATAGTCCATTCCATGAGGATACTTCTCATCCTGTTTCTTCCTGTTTTCGGGTTGTACTGCATGTACAGCATGCATATTCAAACCACACCTGACAGGAAAACAAAGGCACAGCTCATCCCGAGAGGCAGACAGACATGTGCATCACCACACAAAAGCCTTTGTTTCATTCATGTTTTGAGATTCACACTTCTGAGAATGCAGCCCCAGTACACAAAACATTATATAGAGGAAGCACAATAAATGATCGTGATCGCAGCATGTTTGGAAGCAACAGATGGTTGGAAGCGACAAACAACAGAGGATAAAAGCAGGAAGACATCGCGAAGATGTGCAAAAGCAGTGCTGGTGAACCAATGGTGGCCACTTTGTTTGAAAAGTGAACTCCTTTTTTGTGAACTCTGAGCAGCTAAGAAATTCACTGAGTTTTAACATCGTCCTGAAGCAGCAGAGATGCTGAGATATTCAATTAGAGGCATGAGCAGACAGGACGGAAGTGCTTGCTCTTGACTCTAGAGCGCACATTGCAGATGGATATTGACGGATTACATTTTCCCTCCAAAAGGGCTGATAAAGCTGAACTTTAGCCAGAGGCGGCCTGCACAAGACATGGACCTGGGGAGCTTTGCTGGAGTCACCTGCTATAAATAGTGGCCAGCTGAGGACGAGAAAGAGCTGCCTTTGCACTTGGCCAGTAGTTCAGCAGGAAGACTATAAACATCAGAGCTCGGCCTGTCTGGCTGAAATGCTGGGCTAATCAGTATTCTCCCCACCTCTGCTGTGGGAGAAACTGCTCTGTCATCTGATAGCCGTTCTCCTTTCCCTTCCGAGTCTGCTTCAGTGTGTGCGCTAGCTCCTGTCTGGCTAAAGTTCCTTTACATCTATCTTTAAAAATGTCAATATGAAACTGCCTTCACAACCCGTTTGACTTCCGTAATGTATTTCGAGAAAATGAAGTTCGGATGACCAATTCAGATGGGCGAGGACAGGATACTGCAATAAAATACTATGACAGTATTTTATGCACTATTTTAAAAACACTGCTACTCAATCAACAAAGCGAAACATACAACGTCAAGAGTAGTCCAATTCATGCACAAAGGACTTGTATGAGCAGGTTCATTTTAGTGAATCAAAACCATGCAACTGGTGGGTCTAAATGATCATCAAACCAGTGAGTTATTTTCAGTGAATTAAAACCATACAGTGCGACCAGTCCAACTTATTCCCGAATAAATGATTCTTAAGAGTCGGTTCTTTTTAGTGAATCAAAACATACAATGGGAACAGTCCAAAGGATTATCAAACAAATTATTAGTTTGAGCCGGCTCTTTTTAGTGAATCAAAACCATACAGTGCGACAAGTCCATTCCACGGATTCCGGAATGATTCTTTGATTCTTTTTAGCAAATCAAATGATCAAACAAATTATTCTTGTGAGCAGGTACTTTTTTGGTGATTCAAAAATATATACTGTCAATTTACAAAAAAATTCTGTCAATTTACTTACCCTCATTTTGTTCTAAACCTGTACGACTGTATTTCATCTGCAGAACATAAGATATTTTGTTTCTGAATGTCTCTTTTCATGCTCAACATCAATAGCTGTGTTTCCATCCAAAGTTGCGAATTTAACTTTGAATTTAACAATTAAAAATTGGAATATCGCATAAAACATTTGCGAATAAGCACCGTTTCCATCCAACGAGTCAAAGAGAACAAAATCGTCACTTCCTGATAAACTGGCACTAAATATCACTAAGAAAAGTAGAAGCAATTGAACATCATAATTTCATATATAATAAACTGTTTGCACCTCAGAGCGAGCAGACGAAACACAATAAATTGCTTTCAGAGGCGGATGCCTGCTGTTTTGGAACACAGTTGTGTAAGACAGTTTAGGAGGCAATTATACAGAAATAATTTGACTACAGACTCGGGCATTTAAGAATGACCATAACAACATTTCACATGCTGTGCAACGAGATCGGTCCACTGGTTAGTCAGGTTATGCCTTCCCATAGCGCAAAGTCACATGACTTTTTTGATGCGCATGGATGAATTTATTCGCAAAATGCATTTCCATCTCCCATTATTCGCATTAACCCTTTTTCGCCAAGTCAAAAACCACCATTTTTTTTCTAAATTCGGCATTTCCATCACTTGTTTCTGATGCGATACTTCATAATGTGCATAAAAACAGGGTGATGGAAACATAGCTAATGTCAATGGTAACAAAAACGGTTTGTTTCCAACAATCTTCATAATACCTTATTTTGTGTTCTGGAAAATGATGACAGAGTAAATGATGACAGAATTTTCATTTCTGGATGAAGTATTTCTTTACGTACAATATAACATTGTAAGCATGTGTTTAAGTTGGTAAAAAGAGCCATCTCATAAGAGTGATTTGTTCAGAATTGGTTGTACTGGTCATGCTGCATGGTTTTGTTACACTAAAAACCCTCAAATAAATCACTCGTAGTTTGACTGGTATATTATGCAAAAACAGTGGGGGAAAAAGAGAAAAAAGACATTACCAGGCCTGAAACCATTGTGATGTTGACTGGTGTCATTTTTCACTATCCACTCCATAATGTGAAAGCATTTACGGATATGTATGTTGAGGGAAAAGAATGGCAGGGGTGAAATAACTTGTTCAGGGCTTCGGCACCATCTGCTGCAGTACTGTCACATATAATTAACTGTACTGCTTTACCAAGCAACCCCCCCACACACACACAACTGGTCCGGTACCACCACAACGTGTATCATTTAGATAACTTCAATGATATCTTCCATAATTCATCTGTTGCACTCTTTCTGCAGTCCTTGATATGTCATTTCAGATGGATAAACTAACATCGGAGGTTCAGTCCCACTCCAGACAGAATTAAAAGAAATGATGATTGGGTTTGGACATTTACTGCATCTGGTAAACTGCACCTAACCGAGAATGAGGCTGCAGAAACATTGAAGACGTGGTAGAAAACCTCAGGATATAATGATTTACAAAATAATGTAGAAGACACTGCACCAACACAGGCTTGCTGCATACAATGAGTTGCAGAATGTACTGGATGTGTTAAGTCCATAAACCCTGAATTCGACCTTTTTAGAGACCTCAGATATGATGACAGTGGGATGAAACAGAGCAGTAGTTCTCAACTGGTGGGTCACGACCTAAAAGTGGGCTGCAGGTCTGTTCTGATTGGGTCACGAACTGGAGGGAAGAATAATGCTAAATACATTGTAAAATGCAAAATAAATAGAATCACATACTTTTCAAAGCAATGAGAAACATCTTAGTTCATTGTCAACATTATAGTTTAGTTAATGGATGTGTATCCAATCAAAATCTAAATTATTCTGGTGCAAATTCATAACTGCAGAAGCTAACTAAATAAGGCAGGTGTCAATACGGACAGGTTGGGTGTTCATCAGGACTTCTTCAGGTCTTCCCCATTCAATATGAATATTCAGTAATAATAATCATTATTATTGTTGTTGTTTAAAATATTATTTTTGATGTATCACCATTTAAATTATGAAATGCAGGATTGCAAATAATATTATTTTACTGTAAAATAAAAAAAAATCGTATTTAACAACAACAACAAAATATAAAATAATAAAATTACAATGTCTTAATTTATTTGATTTCAAACATTAAACTATAAAGCTTTTATTTGGTTGGAAAACCGCAGGAAATGTCAATGGTAACAAAAACGGTTTGTTTCCAACAATCTTCATAATACCTTATTTTGTGTTCTGGAACATGAGGGTGAGTAAATGATGACAGAATTTTCATTTCTGGATGAAGTATTTCTTTACGTACAATATAACATTGTAAGCATGTGTTTAAGTTGGTAAAAAGAGCCATCTCATAAGAGTGATTTGTTCAGAATTGGTTGTACTGGTCATGCTGCATGGTTTTGTTACACTAAAAACCCTCAAATAAATCACTCGTAGTTTGACTGGTATATTATGCAAAAACAGTGGGGGAAAAAGAGAAAAAAGACATTACCAGGCCTGAAACCATTGTGATGTTGACTGGTGTCATTTTTCACTATCCACTCCATAATGTGAAAGCATTTACGGATATGTATGTTGAGGGAAAAGAATGGCAGGGGTGAAATAACTTGTTCAGGGCTTCGGCACCATCTGCTGCAGTACTGTCACATATAATTAACTGTACTGCTTTACCAAGCAACCCCCCCACACACACACAACTGGTCCGGTACCACCACAACGTGTATCATTTAGATAACTTCAATGATATCTTCCATAATTCATCTGTTGCACTCTTTCTGCAGTCCTTGATATGTCATTTCAGATGGATAAACTAACATCGGAGGTTCAGTCCCACTCCAGACAGAATTAAAAGAAATGATGATTGGGTTTGGACATTTACTGCATCTGGTAAACTGCACCTAACCGAGAATGAGGCTGCAGAAACATTGAAGACGTGGTAGAAAACCTCAGGATATAATGATTTACAAAATAATGTAGAAGACACTGCACCAACACAGGCTTGCTGCATACAATGAGTTGCAGAATGTACTGGATGTGTTAAGTCCATAAACCCTGAATTCGACCTTTTTAGAGACCTCAGATATGATGACAGTGGGATGAAACAGAGCAGTAGTTCTCAACTGTTGGGTCACAACCTAAAAGTGGGCTGCAGGTCTGTTCTGATTGGGTCATGAACTGGAGGGAAGAATAATGCTAAATACATTGTAAAATGCAAAATAAATAGAATCACATACTTTTCAAAGCAATGAGAAACATCTTAGTTCATTGTCAACATTATAGTTTAGTTAATGGATGTGTATCCAATCAAAATCTAAATTATTCTGGTGCAAATTCATAACTGCAGAAGCTAACTAAATAAGGCAGGTGTCAATACGGACAGGTTGGGTGTTCATCAGGACTTCTTCAGGTCTTCCCCATTCAATATGAATATTCAGTAATAATAATCATTATTATTGTTGTTGTTTAAAATATTATTTTTGATGTATCACCATTTAAATTATGAAATGCAGGATTGCAAATAATATTATTTTACTGTAAAATAAAAAAAAATCGTATTTAACAACAACAACAAAATATAAAATAATAAAATTACAATGTCTTAATTTATTTGATTTCAAACATTAAACTATAAAGCTTTTATTTGGTTGGAAAACCGCAGGAAGATCTTAAACCTTGCCTTTTGTTGGCAACAGATTTATAAACAACTGTAATTATACATTTGGGAAGATGGTTTGGCACATGTTGCTTTTCTAAATGCACTTTATAACCAGTTGTTAATAGAGAGAACAAAAAACAGTTGAGAACCACAGATGAAAATGATATGCCAATTTTTTGTTTATTTACAAGAAAAAAATAGCACACAATAGAGCAGCTGAATATATAGGCCCAAATCTAATCAATCAAGCTATGATGGAACATTACTCCAAATATTTTATGAGAACAACATGAAACAAGTTGATTTCAGTGTGTGGTGAAACTGATGAACAGGCGGATCAAAGAAAGCAGGGGGATTCATTTAGTGTCTTTTCTTAATAAATAAGACATTTTTCAGATGGAGAAAAATGCTGGTTTGAAGTGGAGCTCATTGCTGGATAAACTAATTTGGCTCTCACGGTTTTTTCTTCTTCATTAAATATCATTTAAAAGTTTGTCGGCTAGCTCGTCTCTCCCTCTGTTGCTGTTTCGTTCCCGCAGATTTATTCTCCAAATTTAATTTCCTTGTCCTGCAAGCTTCTCTTAAGCCTCTGGGATACAATTATAGAGCTGCTGTGTTGAGAACGGCTGTCAATATGCAGCTTTCCATGTATTGTTTGGCTGTGCTATTAGTGCATAATTACTGGTGGAATCCAAGGCACTCTTCATAATTGTGAAAACTTACTGCTGGGAGATCTACCATCAGAGACCTGGGATCAAATTTCAATAAAGGGGTGAATTATTTGTTAACGGTATGTAGAAGAATTAATTTCACGCAACAACACGTATCAATAAAAATCTTTCGGTAGGTATTCCACAGCAAAAGTTTTCCCAAGGTAATACAAAATTTGTGCCAGAAGATATGGAAAAATCCAGCATTCAGATCCCACTTTCAAGACTAACTACCTTCTACACGGACACAAAAAAAAAAGAAGTTTTCTAAACATATTTTGCTTTGTATCACCTACAAATGTGCCAAATGTGACATGATCGTTAATGGCTAGTGCTTTGATCAGTGATATAAAATTAGATTTACCTCAGCTTTAATCTTGTTGTCTCCGAAGCATAGGTGTTGCAAATATGCCGCTGCGTTGGACTGAACTGAGGGAAACTGGTGCTGCAACATCTGAATGACTTCAGGTAACTCAGGATCTCGCCAACCGAACTCCCTACGGAAAAAGAGAAGAGTAGGAGAGTGAATTTCACACTTCAGTTGTACAGTAGGTGGTGAAATAGGACGTATACTGTACGTTGCAGGCTGGCAGACCAGCACCATTACCGAGAACATCTCTAACACATGGAGGTTAAAGTGAAATAAATGTCTTTCCAGAATCTGTTACAGGGAAAATGGTTTCCATTATTGTGTTATTGCTCTGAAACAGTGGGCTTGGAGAAGTAGGAGTTTACAATTGTGAATAACTGTGTGTACGTGAAAGTGTTTCTCTCAGTGAGAACGACTAGATTTGAACATTTTCACTGATATTGAGGAAGTCTGACAGAAAGATTGGTTGTACTCTGAGGGTTTTGGGTTTCTGATGATCTACCTTGCTGCAGGAATTATTTTCTTGCCTCATAGAAACCAGGCAGCAAATATCATAAAAAAGTGTACACACACAAATTTGACATATTTGTATAAACACATCTTACACATATTTCTCTTTTTTTCACAGTTTAAATGGGTTTTTAAACTTATATTGTCATAAAAATATATTAAATTAAATATAATATAAACTCTATATATTACATATATTTACTATATACTATATTTTACATTTTCACTTAGGTTCAGAGGAAAAAAGTAAATAAATAATAGAAAAAAGTATTCACAAATTTCAATTGTGTAAATATTTTATACGCATGTATGTATTATAATTTTTTTTCACAGTTTAAATAGGTGTTTATACTTCTTCAAAAATGGAATTTAATTTATTATATAATAATTTAAACTTGCTCTATATATAAACACACACACACACACACACACACACACACACACACGTTGTATGTATGTTAATATATAATATTTTACACATATTGATTGGGTTTTTATACTTCTTTCTTGATGTAGAATATTTTGTATATAAAATATTCAGTTTTTATATTTTAGGACTGCTGCAAGGGAAGCATCATATTTGGGGGTTCATGGCATCAGAAATATCACAAAGACTTGGTTGGACAATTTAGTAACCACCAAACACCATAGCAACCACATAGCAACGGCCTAGCAACAACACAAAAGATTCAGTATGCATTTGATTTCAATAAGTTTTGCACAGACAAGATGCACTCAGATGGTGTAAAAGTCTAGTTTATGTTCCTCGAGTTAACACATACACACAAGTGCACGGCTGTCATGCCCATTTCTTTGTTTTTGTGAATTACAGAATATTTTCCACCTCAGAGTCATAGAGTGTGGCAAGCTTTGATAAATAAAGGCCCTAAACAAATGCCTTTTATCTAAGCAAGATTGCATTTGATAGAGATAAGAAGAACCACAGGAGGGATTCGGGAAGTTGCTGGTGTCTTAAGCCCTTAACCTGAGGGCCGGCACTGCTTGAAGGCAGCTGGTCTCTCCTGTCGCTGCAAACAGACCGATAAGCATCAGCCTGCCTGCAGTTAGGGGCCCATTCCTCCTGAGGATCAGTCTTCCCACCCGCCAGCCCGTAATCAAAATGAAAACGATCAGCTGATAATATAAGCATTGTGCTTTTTGATTAATTAAAACTTAGCAGGGATTCTCAGTTCAAATGAAACGCCAGTCATGTGCCGTATAAAGTGGGGGAGGGTGGGTGCAGGTTTCATAGGCGCTGTACTAAACGCTAAAAAATGGGGCCAGTTGACACCATCAGAAGAGTTTCTTTTCCTTTTCCTCCATCGATGCGCAGGAACTTCACAGGCAGCGTGACAGAACTGGGGCAGAAGAAAGACGTTTTCTATGTGTGTGTATGTGCATTTCAGTGCGTTTATCAGAGAGGAAAGATCAGAAGTAGTGCAAGGCAATCCAATGCATGATCATACAATTACGCTTGTGTGCAGACAGCACATACACACACACACGCATGCAGAACAGCCACCACGACTACAACATTCTAGATCTTCACAAGCGTCAGAGTCAGTTTACATCACAATCACACAGACTGAGTGCTTGCATGCAGTGCACAGTCAAAGACTATCAAGCATCAGCTTGTGAGAAAAACCCAAAGGTTTACATAATAATAATAATAATAATAATGCAAAAAATCTGTTTATGAGATCCTGAAATTATATTTTAATTCACAGAATAAGCTGACACAATGTACATGCAAAGCAAACCAAGGCAATAAGTAAACTGCATGCTGATTTTTGAGTTAAACCATTTATAACCTTTTTCCTATGGCTGTGAGTTGATTCCAAAAAAAGAATTTATTCTTCATTTCAGAGGCACTGAGTATCGAGAGTCGGATTCCACTCAAAGGAATCGACTCCACACAGGTACATGAAACGTTCAGGCAGTATTCCTCTAATCTAAACTAATATACATCCCGAAGAAGCCTTAACAGCAATGATTCATATTTAGTGCTGCTTAAACTGATCATATTTTTCCCTGATGCTGGGAGTCAACTGCAAAAAGAATCAAGAGTCATTTTTCACTTAAGACAAGTGATCGTATCTTCGTTGATGCTTCTTGAGAATTGTTTACTCTTGCTTAGAACAAAATTGAGGATTATTTACATCCATTAAAAACTTTTGAGCACTAAGAAATGTGCTTGAGAACCGACTTTTCACCAGCGACAACTGATCATATTTTCATTAATACTTTTTGAAAACTGCTGACTCGTTTACAACAAAACATTTAAATCTCTTAATTGAACAATAAAGATCAACATTTAAGTGTCTTAATTACCTTGAATGCACAGCCACGTGCCCGAGTCACTGTACCACAGATACATGTGCTAAACACTAAAAAATATAAGGTATATAGACAACAGTGTGACTTTCTGTAAAGTTGCTTTGACATACTGTGAAAAGTGCTATTCAAATAAATTTGAAAACAGAAAATATAAAAATAATGTCCAAATCAAAATATTAACAAAAATGATTAGTTCAAAACTGTGGTTAGCCCCGCCCACTGTACCATCTTACTGGTCCAAAATCCTGCTCCTCTAAATATATTAAGATAAATGAATATACATTAGTTATAAAAATTATGGAAAATATATTAATTTAACTTGTTCAAAGTCAGGAGAATTTCAGAATATATACATAAGCATATATACACACACACACACACATATACATACACACATATATATATATATATATATACACATACATACACATATACATATATATATATA